TATGGTTTCTTGACAGGTTCTACAAAGTGTAGGTAGTAGTATGGGATGCTACCTATAAATTGCACGAGTAGGCTTGGAGAGGGTCATAGTGAGTTTCTCTAAATCCTAATGACTGTGACATGAATGTACCCTAAATGAGGTTATTAAAGAATGTTGGCTCTTAAATGCTTAATATGTTATGCATGTTATACTTGGGTTATATTACGAGTTATTTTCCCTTGTCATGTCTTAATTAATGATATACCTCTTATGTATGAATATTGTGCAAAGGTGAAAGAAAAGAATGATAAGTTACTTTAAGTGACCTAAATGTGGTGCCCTAGTATGGATGGTGGTATGGGACGTCATCCATACATTGCACGAGGTATAGCATAAGGGTTTCTTGAGGTGAAGGTCCAAGGTAAAGGTTTTCATGTTGATATTGTTTAAAGGTGATATTATGACTTACTTGATGTTATGCTTGTCTTGTATGTCTTTTATGCTATTGTTCATGATATTTCAAAAAGGTGGCATAATGCATGGTTTCTAACTAAAATGTCCCTTTTTAAGCATGTTTTGCATGGTCATCATACTTAGTACATTTTGTGTACTAACCCATATTCTTCATATTTTTACTATAAGTGTAGGTTCCGGCAAGTGATCCCTCCTAGCTAGTTTGAAGTGTTGGATTGCTTTCCTCCAAGACTTGGTATGTCCTCATGGATTCGAGGACAAGACTTTTAAGTTCTTTTGTTCATGTAATAGACTTCTTTTGATTGTAAAGGGCCGTGTCCCTACTTATGTTTTGCGACTGTGTCTAAGATGGCCATGTGAGACTTAGACTTCCGCTGTGTGTTTTTAAAGTTGTTTTAAGAAGTTTAAATGTGTGGATGTAAATAAGTTTTTTTTTATTATTATTCCGCACTATTTTCATTATTGAATGCAATGAATGACTATGTGGCTTGTATAAGACCCCTTCGGGGTCGAGTACGCCTTGTTACGACTTGGGGGTGCTCCCGGGTCGTGACACTTTTATACCCCTGGCAAGGTATATTGGGTCCTCTCGATAGGGCGTGTACATCAGACTCCATATTTAGCTCATGTGGTTTTATACTGGTTATTAGTAGCTCTCACAGTCCATCTGATTCTATTGCATTGACCATGTTATCTTTTACAGTTCAGATTTTAATTTCAGCATGTTATAAACTTGGTCATTGCATTCAGTTAGTTCATGTTCAGTATTCTCAGTTTAGTATCATACTTATCTTATATCATTGTTCAGTTATGATCATTGCTCAGCTTTACTCTATCATGCATGCTCAGTACCTTCAAGTACTGACGCATACTCTGCACTACATCTTCTCGTTATGTAGGTTCAGGTCCTCAACTTTCAAATCACGCATAGATCGGTTCTCGATCTTCAGTTCAGCAGCATCAGTAGTGAGTCCTCAATCTCCGAGGACGACACACATGTTTCTTTTCTATTTTTAGTCTTTAGTTTCAATTTTTGCTAGATTTAGCTGGGGCATGTCCCAACTCTTCTAGTTAGTTAGAGGCTTATTTCAAACATAGTTAGATTTAACTTTAGCCTTTGTTAAACTCTCAGTATTTATACATTCAAATTTAGTATGGGTATTTCCCATTATTTCAGATTATCTTATGATTAGCTTCCACATAATATTTCATTGCTTCAGTTTATATTTAGTATGCTTATGATATGCCAGCAGGGTTAGCTTGGGGTCACTCGTGATCCTAAGTCCCGTGTCCGCGTCCTGAGGTAGCTTCGGGGGGTGAAACTCAACATCTACAAAACATGATTCAGAATATTGTGTGGTATTTTGAGCAAAGACTATGAGCTCACCCTCCTCCACAACAAAGAAGTTACCGACTTTAAATTTCTCATATAATAGGCTAAGGATGACCATAGTTCTACTATATAATACTTATCAGACGGCCCACTAACAATTGTTTAACCCAAGAAAGTCCTAGCTTGGAAGTAAACTCATCACATATATTTTTATGACTCAATAATTCATGGTCAAAATTAAGCCAAGAGTGCACCAATTTCTTAGTGTAAACCAACTGAGGTGAAATGACCCAACTACCCTCATAGTTGAACACAATTTCAACTTCATCAATCATCCTTCAAAATCCATGAAGAAACAGTAAAATCAGAGGGACCACATCAAACCAAACACATTAAAATTAATCTACAGAAATATAATAAACTAAACCCTAAAAGACAAACATCATTTGAGACCACTAAAAGATAAACAAAATGTCACTCCATGAGGCTACCCTTTGACGTATCACGAGTGACCCCAAGCTAACCTTGTGTCTGGTATATATCAAGCATACTGAGAATAACTGAATAAAATATGTACTATGCGGAAGCTAAAACAATGGATAACTGAAAGTGGGGAATACCCAACTAGTTTGAATGTATAAATCATACTAAGAGTTTAATAACAACCAAAAAATGAACTTAACAATTCAAGTTGATTCTATTACTATGTTTGGAAAACCTCTAACTGAGTTGAGTTGCTAGGACATGCCCCCCAACTAACTGTAACAAAATTGAAAACCGAATAAAAAAACTAAAGTGAAAAGCATGTTTATTGTCTTCGAAGTATGAGGACTCACCACTGAAGCGGCTGAAATGCGGACCGAGAGTCGATCTAAGTGTGATGTGGATGCTGAATACCTGAACCTATATCATGAAATGATGTAGCATAGAGTATGCGTCAGTACTTGGAATGTACTAGCATGCAAGATATATATACTAAGCCGAACAATATATATAAGCTGAACAAAACATAACTAAGCAAGAATGTAAATACTGAAACATAACTGAAAAGCCAAGCTGAATGCAATGACCAAGTACTAATCATGAGAATAACATGTTGAAAACCTGGTCAAATGCACCGATAGTCTAACTGAGGGAGCTACTATTAACCGACATAAAACCACGTGAGCTAAACGTGTAGTCCGATGTATAGGCCCCATCAAGAGGACCCAATATACCTTGCCAGGGGTATAAAGGCATGACTGACATGATCACTAAATCTGATGCCCACAGAGGGGACTTATAAACCTACGGGGGCACGTAGTTCTGAGACTATGAGAGTACGCTGAACCCTAGTCCAACTCGGTGCTAAGTCTACTCCCAACTAGAAATATGTATGACACAACATAACTGAAATATTGGATAGCTCAATGTTCTAACATGAAAATCTGAGAATGCAACATTTAGGAATTGACAATGTAACATTCGGATACTGGAGCCTATTTATCTGTTTAACTGACCTAACAAGTGTAATTCATGAATTAAGAGAATCTACACAACTAGGGTTCTGAGTTTCATGCAAGAAACTAAGCAATGATTTCACAAAAACATGATAAATTGATTACGAATACTATAAAAGCTGAATCATAACCAATATCTAAGCAAGATATAACGAATCAAGAATCTGACTGAATTCTAGGGACCTAGTGGATGAAAGGAACCCACTAGTGAATTTTAGGGACCTAGTAGTTGAACACAATTTCAACTTCATCAATCATCCTTAAAAAATACATGAAAGAAACAGTAAAATTAGCGGGACCACATCAAACTGAACACATTAAAAGCTACAAAAATATAATAAACTAAACCCTAAAAGACAAACATCATTTGAGATCATTAAAAGACAAACAAAACAAAGCTTACAAAGGCATAAAAATTACATCATTTAACATTAAACAATAGATTTTATGTGATTTTGGTAGACACAAATCAAATACAACAGATGCCTCACTAGGTCGACTTTATTTAGATAACCCTAACATAACACAAAAATGTAACGAAATTGAATATATGAGAATAAATCAGTACCTTCAGGAAAACAAAACTTATATAATTAACTAATGGAAATGGAGAAGTTTGCAACAAATTAGGGCTTTGATAATGGGTTAAAAGGGATGGTTTTTGGGTCGGATATGATAAACGAACGAGTTGATATCCGAGTCGGATAGGTTATTTAAAAGAGGTGTATTAATGTAGTTATTTTTAATATAAATTTCATGTGGTAATTTAAAAAGGACGTGACAATTCCATTTGTCATTTAAAGAAAATGAAAGTGAGCTGGATATTTCCAACAAACCAACTAACGTCTATAAGGGCATATCTATGCGAAAAGTTGGACGGCGAGAGCACAAGTGATCCAAACTTCAAATAGGGTATATCTAGACATTTTCGAATAGTTTAGGGGCATATTTGATCCTTTTCCCTTTTTTATTTTTTATATATATGAAGGACTTTCTTGGCAATGTATTATGCAAGGAGGACATAAATAGAGCAATCTTAAGATTTGAGGGACCATTTGAGTTAAAAATTACTAGTATATTAAAACTTGAAAATATCCTCATATTTTTTTTTATATATATGAAGGACGTTCTTGGCAATGTATTATAGAAGGAGGACATAAATAGAGCAATCTTAAGATTTGAGGGACCATTTGAGTTAAAAATTACTAGTATATTAAAACTTGAAAATGTCCTCATATACAAAGTACTACTGAAAAACTGACCTGATAGCCTCTCAGCTTCGAACCAGTTGCAAAAACCCTAATCTCAGAGTTCGCTACGGCCTAGGGTTCCGTCAAAGCTAACCTGTACTTCACCGGCGGAACACCGAGCCATCGGCCAACCGGCAGAGAGCATCATCGCAAATGGACTTCGACGAGTACGATTATCTGGAGAAGACTGTGGAAGAGACTAACGGCACTTCTACGAAGAGCAAAGACAGAGACAATAACAGCAGCGCCGAGAAGGAGAAGAGCGAGAAAGGCTATCGTCGAAGGGAGAGAGACGGAAGTGAGGAATACGCCGACGACGACAATAGAGAGCGCCGGAGCAGCAAAAAGTCTCGCGGCGACGGCGAAAGTATCAGAGAGAAGGATAAGGAGAGAGATAGGGAAAGGTCATCGAGGCATCGGAGTAGGGAACGGGAATCTGAGAGAGACAAAGAGAGAAGCTCAAAAGACCGTGACAGAGAGAAGAGGGAAAAGGAGAAAGAGAAAGAGAGGGATAGAGACAGGGAGAAGGAGAAGGAGAAGGAACGTGATAGAGATAGGAAGAGTAGAGATCGGGATAGAGATAGAGATAAGGAGCGAGAGAAGGAGAAAGATAGAGAGAGGGAGAGGTCAAGGAGGAGCCGTAGTCGCTCGAGGATTGAGCGAGAGCGAGAGAAAGAGATGTTGAGAGACAGCGAGCGTGACTTTGAATCACGGGACAGCAGGTTATACTATTTGCTTTGCTTGTATCTTATGCTACATTATTAGTCTCATGTCATATCAAGTGCTGCTGTTTGTTGCCTCTTAACAATTTTGAGTTTATTTCAAAATGATTAGTGTTTTGATGATAATTATTAATTCAGGCTGTAGTGATTGATGAATAGTTTCCAATGTACATCAATATGGTTGGCAACTGCAATTATGTAGTTGGTTGGCAATTGCAATCATGTAGCTGCTAATGTGGTGAAAGGCATTGCGAAAACTAAAAAAGAAATGATCAATATTTGCATCTCATCATCTTTATTTCTCAAATTTATATCAATTTTTTTACTGGGCTGTCGACTGTTTTTGTAACCCAAAAAACAGAAAATTAGGTAATGGCTGAGCTTAAGTATGTGCTTGAACACACTCTGCTGAGTGTTTCGAGTTCTAGTAGGTTCAAACGGAGAAGGCAATTTAAAGTGGTCTAAGTGCGTAAAAGAGTGTCAGTTTATCCACAAAGAATGTAATATTCTGACTTGGGTTGAAATCGTAGATGGATTGTTTCCACATCTTAATGGGCTAACAATGCGGAAACCCTTCAAGGCTTGATTGAAGAAGTGGCTTATTCCCACATATATTGAGTATGATAAGGTCTGTTAAGTTTCCTTTGGTCTTTGAGATTTTCGCTCACTCTTGAATCCTTCTAATGTTTCTGCATTGATGGATTTAAGGTTACTTTTTTCTTAAATCTGATTTGAGATGTTGACAAATGATGTATTGAATTTCTAGGTTGGCAACGCATATGGTGTGAGGCTGTATCAGTTTTTCAACCTTTTCTTCTGTTCGAAGACGAAAATACATTAACCCTATATGTGATTCTTTTTTGTGAAAGCAGGGAAAAGTCTCAAAATTTTGGTGCTGGGCAGCGAATAATGTCACAACACATACTGCATTCATATTCTTAACTTGAAGTTTATACTTGGAGATGCTTCAAAAGTTCAAATTATCTTCTAGAATTTGCTCTATTTGTACTTGTTTTCTTTTTCTCTGGGAATGTTGTGTTTTACTGGTGGTTGGAATTCTATTTGCTTCCTGTTTAGATATAAAAGACGAAACTCATTTGGGGTCCTTGAGCATTTATGAGGAGATCGTGCTATATTCGGCTAAACAAGTAGATAAATGAAGTTTGCATTTTCAAGTAGCCTATCGGCCTATCCAAAACTTTAGAATCTTGTTGACTTCTTCCACATTTGTCTCGAAAGGGCTTGCCTTGATGATCTATCCTGCTGCAGTAGCTACTCCATCTAATTGTAAAGAGGTGAAATTTAGCACAGCAAGGGAGGCTTTAGAGGATGATGATTCATCATGTCATAATGTAATTTGTAGCATGTCCATGTATTTATGCAAGTTTGGTTGAGCTTTGATGTTTATAGTAGTTGATTATCTTCAATGTAGCAGGTGCTACATAAAGTACTTGAAATGAAAATCCACTCCCTACTATGTGCAACTTAAATTTTACAACCAGTGCCTCATACTTTTTCGTTCTTTACTAGCCTTGAGATTAATGTGATTTAGAGGTTGATTTGCTTCAATATGTTCTATAGTTTGTGACATAGGAAAGTGAAGGGTCTGCATGAGCTCTAGCTGGTTAATGAAGTCATGTTTAAAATAATTCCTTGCTATGATCTATGCCATACAGATTCTCATTATGGTCTGAGTCATTTATACAGGAGATTCAAGGAGAAGAAAGAAAAAATAGAACCAGAAGCTGATCCAGAAAGGGACCAGAGAACTGTTTTTGCTTACCAGGTAGATAGTTTCAATGTCTTTTTTTCTGCCTTGTTCATCTACATACATAGTCATTTCTAGCTAGGTGGTTTATCTGGTCAAAAGGTTCATTCTCTGATTTATTTGGTTCGAACTTTTATAGATGCCCTTGAAGGCGACTGAAAGGGATGTGTATGAGTTCTTCTCACAAGCAGGAAAGGTTAGTTCACTTGGTCCTCCGTATTGCTGCATGGTAAATGAACTATGCTGCTGGTAAATTTATGGCTTGATGATCAATGTGTGCTGGTTATGCTTGTCCTAGAATTTCATTTTCTTGTGTTCCTCTAGAATTGATATGATACTTCATGTTTAGGACCCAAAAAATGATTTGTGTTCTTCGCTTGACCCTTCTTCCGTAAACTATTAGTGCATGCTGTATGCATCTCCTTGCTGTTGCAGTAACTGCTTCTCTGCCTTCGGTATCAGGTAGCTTAATTACATTCTCATGTTTCAAGATTCTATACTTGATTGGATGAGCAATATAGTCTGATCAGGTTTAACTGATGATTTTATGCATGACCTATTGCAGGTCTTGTGGTGTATATAGTATGAGTGTACCAAAAGGCCCTCTAAATACAGTTTATCCTGAAGATTTCTATATTTTGACATTCATTTTATACATTTCTAGGTGAGGGATGTGCGGTTAATCATGGACCGGAATTCAAGGCGATCTAAAGGAGTTGGGTATGTCTGTCAAACTCTCTACCTTCCAATTTTGCATGTAATTTTTCCTTCATTTCTTTCTCAAGTAAATTAATGTGCATCTTGCTTTGTGAAGTACTCCTAAAAGTCCCAAGGATTAAGGTAGCGCAGCTTTCTTTTTTGAGGGAGACGCTAATCATATTTGATTGACTGTAGCATTGGGGCATATCACACTAATCATAATGATGGTTAATAAAATTGCCTTGTTGCAATTAAACTGTATTCTTGATTTGTTCCTCCGACTTCTGTGTGTCTCTTTTACTCTATGCCTTCAGAAAAACTGTGTTTCTCATAGCTGTTTTTGCTTTTTATAAATCTTCCTTTTGTTTGGTTGTTCTATGACGTCTGACAGCTAAGATATATTTCCAGTCCCAAGTCCGGATAGGGGGAGAAAGATTGTTGGTTTTAAATAAAATGTGTTCAAGCAGATCAAATGTAAAGTGAGGGTTCTATGCTGACCAAAGTCGGGGATTGTGTAGTTGTCGTTGTAAACATGCATTTTTGACTTCCTTGAAAATCATTATGATTGGTGGAGTAAAGGTTATTTGTATTGTACTTACGAAATGAAGAGGTTTATTTGGATTGTCAAGTACTGTCAATTTTAGTTGACTGGAATCCCAAGATTGCATCATTTGAAGTTTATAGTTATGAGATATGGTCTGTAGATAATATAACAATTGCAAACATAGTAAAACACACAGCAGTAATTGGTCCTGAGAGCATTTAAAGTTATAGGGATATGAATCAGATGCTAACTGAATGATTTCAAGTGCATTTACCTAAGTACTACTGATATGTCAGTGGGACCCAGGTCTGTGTATTTACCTCGGTGGAATTCTGAGAAGTTTCTTGTGGCTCTCCTTACCTTTTTCTTTTGGGAATTCCATGCACGGGTTTAATCTGGTTGTTGGCATTGATTACTTATTGCTGTTCTAGGGCCTAGTTACTTCCATGATTTTTGGATGAAGTAAAAGTATTATTAACAACGGGGAAAATCTAACCCCGTATTCAAGGTGTATACCTAAAAGTAGGAAACTTGCATAATGCATGATTTTCTACAAAAGCCACCCAAGTATCTATACAACTAGGAATCTCATGGGTGCACCAAAAAAAACAAGGGATTTATGCAGGTTCATTGAGTTTCAGTTACGTTAATAAATTATTGGTATCTATGCAGGTACATTGAGTTTTATGATGCTATGTCCGTGCCAATGGCTATTGCTTTATCTGGTCGCTTGCTTTTTGGCCAACCAGTAATGGTCAAACCTTCTGAAGCTGAAAAGAACCTTGTTCAGTCAACCGCATCTGGTGGTGGATCAGGGTTGGCGGGGCCAAATGCTGCCTCAGAAAGAAAACTTTATGTTGGAAATCTTCACTTTAACATGACAGAATTGCAGCTTAGACAGGTAACAAGACTGACTTCTCTTTATCTGTGTATAGGCACTAGAATATTCACTTGTCATATGCACTATATATAATGGTGGCGGCTTAAAGACGCAATATTCTGCAATGCCAATCTACCTTGACTTGTATAATATAACATGTTGCAGAACAAATCTATGTTTTAGAGGAAATAAAGTTCACGAAAATGCCTGTTTGTGTATGTATCAAATCCTTCATTTATAGGAAAGAAAAAATCCCTAAGATTTTTCTTTGGGATTTTGTCTTTCTTGTAAATTACGTACATGATACAGACATGAGACACCCATACATGTGTTTGCCTAAACTTTATTTCTTCTATAACACTAATTTTTTTTTCCCGCATGTATAATTGACTTTTCCAATGTTCTTGCCACAATAATCTGACTAAGCAAAGTCTTCTATTTCTAATTGTATTCTGTTATATCTGGTGTGGTCAGATTTTTGAAGCTTTTGGGCCAGTGGAGCTTGTTCAATTACCTACAGATCCTGAAACAGGACATTGCAAAGGATTTGGGTTTGTCCAAGTCAGTATTTAGTGAACTGCAATATTTCTATCCTGTGTTTTCTCTATCATTATTTTCTTTCTTTTAGTAACGCTTTTGTGGTTCATCTTAGTTTGCTCAACTTGAACATGCTAAGGCGGCTCAAAGTTTGAATGGTAAGCTTGAGATTGCCGGTCGGACCATCAAGGTATGTAGATAGACCAAACTCGTTGGTGATGTATAGTCTCTGTAGACCTTGCCTCTCTGAATACTGTTGTATGTCAGTGTTTACTGATCCTTGACCCTTTTGGTTCAATGCAGGTTTCATCCGTTACTGAACATGTTGGAGTACAAGATGCTGGAGCTAAAACTGCAGACTTTGATGATGATGAAGGGGGTGGCCTGGTGAGTTTGCTCTTAAATCATTATAGAAGGACCTTGCAAGCCATCTTTTCCTTTTAAGTAGGTTTAATACTTCATAAATTATTAGTATGATGGAGGTGGTAAAAGGTCCATCCATGTTTTGGTGTTAGATATGACCTGAGAAAAACAATTTTAAGAAAGTACCAGTGTGCTGCAATAATTTTTATTGTTTGTCTCTGTTTCTTTCTTCCTATTTTTCCCTTTTTCATTTATGGGGTTTGTTCGGTATTCAAGAAAAAATGAACCAAACCAACTAAATAATTCATTAATATATAAATTTTATGATCATAAAAAAATATTTTTATTATATCTTTAACCATAAAAAGTTGTTTTAGATGTTTTTTTTTTGAAAATAAACAATGTCGTCTTGAGTACTCTAATCTTCTATACTGAAGTTATTTCGAAGTGATTTATTTATTGTTTTAACCATCGAGGCTAGATAAGTTTGAAAACAATTGTGGATCATTGTTGTTTGTTCTATGGAAGTGAATAGTTGTCACGTCTCATAGTGAAATTTGTCGCAGATATATGCTTTTAATAGATAATAGGTTTAATCAAGTTGTTTGATTCTCGCTAAACATAGACATATGAGAAATTATGCCTTAGCTCTAGTAGATAATGAAATGAATTTGTATTTTCATGTGGGAAAAACCAACAAAACCGAAACAAGGAAGTGGTTCTTTGTTTTGGTCTGGGTTTGGTTCACAGATGAAAACAGAGAAACAAAACCATGAACACCGAGTAAGAATGTAACATGGAGCCATTATCAAGGCTAGGAAGGTTCTGCTTTGACTTCATCCATCTGGTTTATGTTGTTGTCAATGAGTGATATCTCTTCCTCCTAGGGAAATTCTAATTTTGTGATGAAGCCACTGTAAGGCAGATTTCTACTCGGTTTTAGTTCTTGTTTTTACATGTTCTAGGAAATTTACAGCACTTCTTTTTTCCCATTTTGGGATGTTAAAAAATGTGAGACTTTAGCACGGCCCCATAAATAATACTATTTTATACAATATCCACCATTTCTTGAGATTTCAATCCCTAACTATGGGGTTGAGCTAGGCCTAGTGCATATTTTTACATGGTATCAAAGCTAGGTCCATCCCTATTTGGGCTACCGGTCCATGCTCCTGTTGGGCCTAGGCGTGAAGGGTTAGAGTCCCTCATCCTATGTGGAATGGACGGGTAGTTTGTTAAATAATACTATTTTATACAATATCCACAATTTCGAGAGAGTTCAATCCCTAACTATGGGGTTGAGTTAGGCCCAGGTGCATATCTTTACATGGTATCAAAGCTAGGTCCATCCCTATTTGGGCTACCGGTCCATGCTCCTGCTGGGGTGAGGTTAGAGTCCCTCATCCTATGTGGAATGACCGGGTGGTTTCTTAAATGGACTTGGACTGGTACCCCCCCCCCCCCCCCCCCCCCCCCCCCCAAACACACACACAAATAAGCTAACTTTTAGAGATGAGACATGAGTTGGGCCCAAGTGTCATATCTTTGCGTAAACATTGATGTGATGTTTGCATTACCAAACTAACTTTTCAATCATCATTTTAATATTCCTTTCATTACCTTCAATTAATGTAATTGCAGAAGTTCAATTAATAGCTTATACTCTGTCTAGTTTAATACTCATATAAAAGTGCAACAGGCGAGTGCTATGTAATTTCTTCAACGTTACCATGATATATTTTTTGCAACAGAAATTTCTGTGGAACTTGTGCAAAAACTGAATGAGTTTACGATAGGGGATCATGCTTTGTTCTTTCTAATACGCCATGTAAAAGAATAGTTATTTAAGTGCACACACATCAAATGCCCTTTTTCAGCTAGTTGGTGCATAATTCTCTCACTTTTGGCTAAACCAGACCCCACTTGTGTGATTTCAATGAGTATATCATTGTTGTTATACTTGGCAAGCCATCCTCAAAGCAGCTCAATAGCAGTGGATCTGAGTTCATCCATTCTAGGAAGTATGAAGTATAGGGGATGGAACTTTGTATTTTTTTTCAAAAAGATTAATCCATTCTGAAGCTGCTCAGGAAGCTATAGCCTAATTTCATTCATAATATGAAAATTAGTGGGAAGTCTTCCTTTTCCTGTAAGTTAACGAAAATGTATATTTGATCTTCTTTTTTCTCTTGGTACCTCTGCATATTGCCTGTTACATTAGAAATCTGATGAATTCATTCTCTTTGATATTAAACTTGTGCAGAGATGGGGAAAAAACTGCCAAATGAGAACTGTTGGCTTCTAGTAATTGCTATCTCTATCATAAAGTGCACACTCATCTGAATCATTTTTCTGTATTCCAGGCATTGAATGCTCAGTCAAGGGCCATGCTTATGGCAAAATTGGACCGCAGTGGTGTTGCTTCAGGGTTTGTCCTGCTTTCTCCCTCTTTTATGCTGATCCCCCCCCCACATATTTTATTTTATTTTTTTGCAGTGGGAGTGTATTTGTAGCATGTTTTTACATGCAAAATCTAATGCTCAGATTTTTCCTCTGCAGTGTTGCGGGTACACTAGGTGTTCCTGCATTTAATGGAGCAGCTCAGCCAGCAATGAGCATGCCAATGGGTGGGGCAACAGCTTTTCCGAATATGCTCCCAACACAACTCATTGCTTCCATGGCTCCCGAACCCATTGGAATTCCCAGCGATTGTTTGTTATTAAAAAACATGTTTGATCCTGCAACTGAGGTTTGTGTCCCTGTGGAGTTTCATATTTAACAGCACATTTCTGAACCATCATGGATAGAGAAGGTGCATATCTGATTCTCTGTTATTTCACAATATATTGATCTTCCAATTATGTGCTGCAGACGGAGCCAGAATTTGATTTGGATATTAAAGATGATGTGAAGGAGGAATGTTCGAAGTATGGCAGGGTCAAGCATATCCACGTGGACAAGTATGTGGTTAATTTATATGATGTCGAGTTTTGTGCTGTTTTGACTTCTGAAATAGTAAAATGCTTCATTTCTTTTCCTGGCAGATCCTTTAATTTGTTTGGGTACTTCTGGATAGGATAATACTTTTCCTCTTTTTAGCAGCCGGTCTTTCTTTATCTACTAGACAGTAATAAGCCTCGCTTTTGTTCTTAAAAAGGTGAAAGACTGAAGAGATTTTTAGCTTAACAATCAAACTGAACTATGACAGGTGGCTTCAAATTTGATTGTTGACTGACCGGTGGATTTTTAAGTGGCTAGTTCTCCATTCCTGTTAGACAACTCTTATTCTTAAATACCATGATCCAGTAGTCAGCTATACCGGCTGGCTACTTACTGGTCAATTAATGTCATTTTTTTTTTGAAATAGGTAACTTAGGTCAATTAATGTCATTTTTGTCAGCTATTGATCCTAGATGTATCTTTTGGCAGGAACACCTCTGGTTACGTGTACTTGCAGTTTGATAGTGTTGAGGCTGCATCTCGTGCTCAACAAGCCATGCACAAGAGATGGTTTGCTGGCAGATCGATTTCAGCCATCTACTTGGTAAATGCCTAAGTTGTCCGAGCATTTTCATGTCCTTATCTTCTTCCTCTTCTTCGAATGCATAAATGGTTCATGGAACATGTTATTTTTTTGGGGAGGGGGGGGTTGGGTTGCAGAATGTTAATTTCTTCCCTGTTGGTCTGTTTATTGAAGTGTCCATTTGTTCCTATTCTGTTTATTTGTGGCATCATGATTCCAGTTATGGCAGATAGCTGAGTTCAGACCAAAAAATAAAGAAGAAAATTACAGACTTCCGGGTTAATTTTTGACAGCCTAGCTTTTTGTTGTTACTTAACAAAGTGTGAATATACTTGTCTGTACTTGTTCATTATATAGACGGTAGATCATTTCTTTTTTCGCTCACCCTTACCCCCCCCCCCCCCCCCCCACCCCCCACCCCCCACACACATATAAGATGGGGTAAAATGGACAGTATTTTTAGACAAGTCTGTCATTTTAGTTTACCTAGCTCTTGTTTATGTTTTGATTGAGCTATTCTTTAAAGAAAGAAAAAGTGCAGTTATATTTTTCTGATTGTATTTTTCGTGTTGTGCAGCAACCATATGAATATGATGCCAAGTTCAAAGGTACAGGCTAAATGGTTTCAGAAGGGGGCCATCTAAAATGTCTGAAGACTGCTGATTTGTTTATTGTAATTGCAGAACTGCAGCTAGCTGATTTTGTATTTAAGTTGGGATCTTAGTGATACCAAGACTCGTTAAAGTTCTGTATACTCGGACAGATGAGGTTATAGGTGTTATTGTGATGGAAGTTGTGTAATTTTGACACAGTATTCTCATTTTAATCAACTATGTCACTTGTGGAATTCATTGTGTGCATTTGTATTTTTCTTTTGGCAACGTAATTGATGAGAGATTTAGGGTGTGTTTGGTATTGGAAAACGTTCTTTAGGTTTTGTTTTTGAAAAAAATGAGAAAAATTGACTAGTGTCTCCATGTTTATTTTCTCCTTTCGACCCTCTTAACATGTCCCATAACCCTCACCTTCACCCATGTGGCTACTCTCTCCGCTTTTATCCTTCATATTATTTTCTGCTTTGTATCATATCTGTCCCATCTCCTACTCCTTGTTATAATTTTTTGTAGATATGAAGCACAAAGAAAATAAGTAAATCACTCTACCCCTTCATTGACTGAGCAGCACCATCTATCTGGAACTTTAATAATCAAATTTGTGTTCGAATCAGTGTGGAACTTCAAAACCAGTAGCTTGATTCAAATATCAAAATTTTAATAATGGTTTCACGCAATACATTCATTTGAAGGCAGAGCAGCAACAACTTAACTGAACTCAATAACAATTCGGTTATTCTTTTAGGCGCGCACATAAGCTTAATAGTTGCCATTGCCATGTGGCAGAGCAGTTAGAAGCAACATATTTGGAGCACTACACTCTCTGCAGAATAAAATCAGTTCGTCCTTTTTCGTTTTACAGTGTTAAGTTTGTTAAACATAAAATTCAACAGAATTCCACAAGTTCTCATGGCATCCTCAAGGTAGCTCTTCAATGGCGATCATTTACTGAGGCAACAGTACGTATCATCGACCTTGTTTCTTTCTCTGTAAGTAATAGTAGACCGACTTTGTTGTTCTCAGTATCTTCGAATGTGTTTTCTGATAGAAATTCTAATTGTTTCAACTTGATTGAAGGATCTTCAATGGCGATCGTTTACTGAGCCAACCGTACGTATCATCGAATTTGTTTCTTCTTCTCTGTAAGTGATAGTAGTAATTGTTTCCCCACTTTGTTGCTCTCAGTATCTTCGAATGTGTTTTCTGTGTAGAAATTCTAGTTGTTTCAACTCATTGAAGGATCTTCAATGGCGATCGTTTACTGAGCCAACCATACGTATCATCGAATTTGTTTCTTCTTCTCTGTAAGTAATAGTAGTAATTGTTTCCCCACTTTGTTGCTCTCAGTATCTTCGAATGTGTTTTCTGTTAGTAATTCTTATTGTTTCAACTTGATTGAAGGATCTTCAATGGCGATCGTTTACTGAGCCAACAGTACGTATCATCAAATTTGTTTCTTCTTCTCTGCAAGTATTAGTAGTAATTGGTTCCCCACTTTGTTGCTCTCAGTATCTTCGAATGTGTTTTCTGTTAGTAATTCTAATTGTTTCAACTTGATTGAAGGATCTTCAATGGCGATCGTTTACTGAGCCAACCGTACGTATCATCAAATTTGTTTCTTCTTCTCTGCAAGTAATAGTAGTAATTGGTTCCCCACTTTGTTGCTCTCAGTAACTTCGAATGTGTTTTCTGTTAGTGCTCTCCTGTGATTTGGTACTTGAGAGTATCAATTGAGTTCACAAGATATTGTATCTGTACTCGATAATTCCAATTCTTACTTGATTGTTTTTTTTTTCTTTTAAGATTTCTTTAGAAGCATCATGCATAGGCAAATATACAAAGAGAGATTGATATCTTCTCGTGTACAAAATGCTAAGCTAATATTAGTGAGTCGACACAATCACAGAAATGTTCAATAGTGGTTACATTTTGTTTTGGATTCAAGAAAGAGAGTATGTCCATATTCCTCTTTTACCTCAATCGAAGTGGTTGACTGAAGCAAACCTAGATGGAAAAAATTGAGTTTATAAGATATTGTATTTGTACTTGAATGATTGCAAATCCAACGTGATTGGTTTTGAATGGATTAAAGGAGGGTATGCTCATACTCTTAACTTTCACTGCAATCTTTTATATCATCTGAACCAACTTATAATAGGGAACATGTCAACTGAGTTGTTTCATGAAATATATTTGCGGCATTTGATGAACAAACTACTTTTGAGCCTGCTAGCAGTTGTACTTTTTAGTTCTGAACTTACACAAATAATGAGAAATGCATTTTTTCTTGCTGTAAAGTACTTCCGCCTGCTACTGATTTTGTACTTGAAGTTCTAGACATGCAGGTTTGTATTAAGTCCTGAACACAAGGGAGAGTTGCTTCATTTTAGCTGCTCCAAATAGTGTTCAACCTGCTAGACGTCAATCTTAATCTGAAATTCATAAAGATGAATGACAATATGGAGTTAAATCCTGATTCTCACATACAAGATGAGGCAGAAAGGTTGTTTAAAGAGATGAAATTGATGAAACAGAATGTTAAGAACTCTGAATTCTATGCTGGAATGCTCTTGGATCTCGAGAAAATCAAGCCTCATTTGGTTCGCCTTTCAGTAGGCCTCTATTCAAAGGCTAAGGTGGTAATATATGGTTTGGGAAGCATCGAATTTAGTTACAATTCACAATTTCAGCTTGCTGTAGTTCTCCTACTAAAAGATCACGTTGAATGGATTGGCAAAATTGAAATATTTGATCCTATAATGACTACAGCTGATATCAAAGTTTTCAAGAAATTCGGTCTTGAGGTTCTTACCAATGATGAAAATTGTAAGAGGAAAGCTCAGGGACCAACAATGTTCTACATGCCTAGTCCTTGTTTTAATCTTCTTGGCAACCTATTGGGAGCAAACTGGTCTTCATCTTCTCTTGACCAGATTTTTCTGCTGACAAACTCATTGAGGGCTGCACGCATGAATCTGCCGTTATGGGATCCGTTTACTCTAGAAACAAAGCTAAGATTAGCGATAATTCGTGAATTCACAGCAGAGATTTCCATAAACACTAATGACCATCAGATGTATGCTAGTTTTTTCCATGACTTTGCCTGGCATTTCTTTAAAGTGAACGAGGAATTACGGGAATATGATTGGTTATATACGCAAAGGTACTTGGATGTGTGACTAGATACTGAACTTACCAATTGTTATCAAATACAGTTCTCTATTGTTGATCAATTGATACTGGGAAACAAAGGTGCTGCCGATTAGCATATCATCGAAGTCAGTAGCCTATAGTTTCTGTTGCCTATGATGGTTTCAGTTTTTTGTCTTCATCATAAGATATGTAATTTAATTTAAGTGCTAGTTGGGGAATCTCGATTTAGTTGGTTGCATCATGCAAAGTACTTAAACATTATTTGTTTCCAGAAAACAATTAGAGTGACAGAGCTAACCTGAAGGAACAATATATAGGAGGGAAGGGTTTACTTCATTCCTAAAGATGTAACTTATAACTTTTGTGTTGCAGGTATCTTGAAATAGTTTTCTCGGAAGATTTCAAAAGCAATAAAACTAGCAAGGAATTTGCACAAAATTTGGGTTCTATACGTGGCCCTCGTCAGTTCAGAAACTGCTCAGTTCCTCACCAGGCTGGTTGGTTTAAGCTAAACATCTATGGTATTGGCCCAAAAGAGGGTGACCAGAGTGGATGATTTAGTGGCGTCTTGAAAGATAAAGAAGGGGAGTTGTTAGATGGATATTGCTATAGGGTTGAGTTTGATGATGAAGATGATGTGATTGTTGGACTAGAGGCCTTGAAGTATGGGTTGACCAGAATCAAGAAAGAAAAACTGAAAGTAGAGAAGTTGATGGTGGAGTCAGATAATGCTATGCTGGTCCAGTATGTTAATGGTCGTCCTGAGCCAAATGAAACAACCATGGATAAATTGAATGAAATTTTCAAGTTGCTGGAAGGTATAACCTGGATAGTTTACCATGTGTACGAAGAAACCAATAAAGTTGCTAGAGAGGGGGTTCCAAGAGATGAGAGGAAACTTTACTTAGAAAATGTTCCTTTTGATATGCCAGAGTCAGGTATTGAAGAGGTAACAACACTGACATCTCTTTATTTGCGTATAGTAACAAAACATGACTAGAATATTTGCTTGTATATAAAATTGACTTATCCAATGTTCTTGCTACGATATTATAAGACCCATCTCTGACTATATATATCTTTTAATTCTCTTTTGCATTCTGTTATGTCTGGTGTGTTCAGGTTTTTGCAGAATTTGGGAAAGTAGAGGATGTTCAATTACTTAAAGATCCCGAAACAGGACATAGAAACGGATGTGGGTTTGTCAAAGTCAGTATTTAGTGAAGTGCAATATTTCTAATCAGTGTATATTCTCTATATATCATTATGTTTATACTCTATCTTTATGTTTCAATTTGGGTTCATCTTAGTTTGCTCAAGTAAAACATGCAAAGCAAGCTCAAGAGATTTTGAAAGGAGAGTTGAAATCTAAGCATTTATGCCTCAAGGTATGTGGATAGAGTGAACATATATAGTCTATGTAGAACTTGCTTCTCTAAATACTGTTGGAGTAAAGAGAGTATTTCTGACCCTTGATTGGTTCAATGCAGATTTCACCTGCTCCTGAACATGTTGGAGTACAAGATGCTGGAGCTTAAACTGCAGATTTTAATGGCTTGGTGAGTTTTTCTCTTTAAATCACCTATTTTCTGTTAAATACTCGGTGAGTAATTTGCTCTTTAAATGACTCTTTATGTCTAACACAAACTCAAGTTTGTCACCATTGGTGGAACTATATATAGTTTAAGCTAAATGTAACTTATGCTGGGGTTGAAGTGTATACATTGTTCTGGTATTTGCAAATGATGATGATGAGAATAATACATTGTTCTACTTATATTTAAGGAACTTACTTCAGTTGTACATTACTTAGAAGTTGAAGGTCTATCACTCTTTCTCTTCAAAAAAAGATACTTCCTCTACTGGCAGGAAGAATTTTGTTTTGCGGTATAGATGGATAATAAGTAACCAAAAAAGAGGACACTATTAGTAGCTAAATAAAGTATCACTGAGAGATTATTTTCTGTTCTTCCGGTAAATATTATGTTATTTATTTGAGTTACGTACTTGCTATATATAGTATATACTCTAATCACATTATTAA